ATTTGAGGTCAGGAGTTCGAGACCAGCCTGTCCAACATGGTGTAACCCCATCTCTACTAAAAACACACAAAAATTAACCGGGCCTGGTGGTGCATGTCTGTAGTCCCAAGTACTCAGGAGACTGAGGCAGGAGAATCACTTGAACCTGGGAGGCAGAGATTGCAGTGAGCCAGGGTCATACCACCGCACTCCAGCCTGGGTAACAGAGCAAGACAGTCTCAAAAAAAAAAAAAAAGGCATCGAGGTGTCAATTACAATAATGTTACTAGGGCAAGTAAGATAACCAATCAGAATTGCAGTATTCTTCTGGTTATTATCACAGGGTATTGCAACAATCTTTAAAATCTTCAAAGTCTTAGAAGAATCTCTTCTAATGATACTTCCAAGGACAAATTCATATTAACAGAGAATAGAACAAGTTGACAACAGTTATGAATATTCACACAAGTCTCCTTGTTGCACAGAAACAAGATTGATATTCTTGTGAATGTCCTTAATTTAATACCTTATCACATCAGACTATTTGAATGTATTTGATGATGCAGAAAGCTCCGTCTTGTGACTTCAGGAGAGAGGGGCATCGCTTCATCTTTTTTAGCCACCTTTTGTTAATTGTGAAGACTTGCATTTTTTAAGGCCAGGCTTGGGAACGTCATTACTTAGCATAAGAAGTGAAAAGCAGGCCTCAGACGTCATTTTTATTTGCAGAAAGGATATTTATTTATTTGCAGAAAGGATTTGCAGTAAAGGATGAATAGGATTTTACTTATTAACAGTGAGAGAAGGAGCATATGGCATTAATATCGCCACATTCTGATTTTGCTAATGAGGAATATGCTAATGTCGGAAGAGTGGAGAAATTGACAAGAAGATGTCAACAAGCACAAGTAAAGGTGTTTCTTAAGATAATCAAAGGTTTGGAAACATAGAGAGCCCGGGACACTGCAGCACTTCTGGCTAGAGAAGCAAGTTTCCTGCTCTCTTAAATCCTCCTAAATCTGACTGTTCCACTTCTTTATTCTTTTTCCCTAACCAATATTCAGCGCTGAACTCTGCAGACTGCTTTATTTGTCTATCGCTGGAATCTTGTCTTCTAAGGCCTGCTAAGGCTGAATAAATTAGATCAGACTGATACCAATTTGGTCATTGATACCTTAGTGACAAAAGTGATATTGTCCTTAACAATTTGATGGTAAGATTTAGAGAGCAGATGAAGTGTAAATAGCCAAGGGATTGTTGCTTTTTAAAAAATAGGTTAATATTTATTTAAAATATCTGCATGTCTTATCTGTTTTCTATTTGATCTCCTTAAGTTATAATTTTATTCTTTTGGCTGTATTTCTTCTGAACATGCGAATATAGTAACCAATAATTGTATACAAATTTAATTTCTTATAGATGTATAAAATCTAAATTTTAATAGATATGAAACAATTTAATGCATTTGTGAGAATTTTTCCTATTAATCTTTCAGGAAACTGGCTTTTCTTTTATTTCTACAAATGTTCTGAGTGGTTTGGAGCAGATTCAGTACATGAAAAAACATGAGGTTGGTGCAAAAGTACTTGCAGCCTTTTCATTACGTTTAATGGCAAAGACCACAGTTGCTTTTGCACCAACCTAACACCCCACTTCACCCCAGATGATATCATTTTAGTACTCCTTATTAGCTCTTTAAGAGAAGTTAAGTGAAAAATGAAACCAAGATATTTTGGGGTATATTAGATTAGGTCCACCTGTGAATAACAGAAATCTCAACAGTGGCTTAAAAGACATTTATCTCACATTATAGAAGGCTGGAGATAGGTGGTCTAAGGCTGTGATGCTGTTCATGTGTTAGGAATTTAGCTCTTTTTATCCTATTTCTCTGCCATCCTCAGCCCATGCATTCTATCCTGTGATCTAATGTTGCTATTCAGACTTCAACCATCACATCTTTATTCCAGCTACAGGTAATGAGGAGCCAAAGAAAGGCACAGCAAGCTACAGAGGGAACATTGTCCCAGCTGCTGTGCATCCACTATTAACGCGAAACATGTGCCAAAGTTAAACAAGCAACAGAGAGACTTTATTCGAGATGATAGCAATAGAGGAGAGAGGTTAAACTCAACTCAGCCTCTGAGTTGAGGGTGAAACAAGGAGCTAGCGAGTTTTTAAGAGCTGGGGTGCGAGTAACAGTAGGCCACCTGTGGTTGCTAATTAGTCCCCCCTCCCCCCCCAAAAAAAAGAAAATTCTGACCTATCTCCATAACAGAAGGTAGGCTTCCTCCCTCCAGCAGACTGTAGGATGATAGCATTATCTTCCTTCAGAAATTACATTTCAAAGAGTTGGTTTTCAGGTTTTTGAGAGAGACATTTCTGGGGGTAATCGAATAGGTAAAAGCTTTTTGAGGAGACATATACATTTGAAAGGGAGCCAAAAAAGAATTTGCCACGAGGAGTTTGTTTTTTAAGTAAATACTCTAGGAGAATGGACAGGAAGAAATCTGTCTGAAATTTAGTCAACCTGAGAAGTTAATGCTGTCTTGATCACCAGTTAAAAGCAAAGATATCTGTACTTAGGAGAAATGGGAGAATTAAAACTGAAGAAAAACTGATTTGCCCCAGTTTGCTTAAGTTTTTTTCTCTCTCCATTCTTTGTAGAAAGACTAAAAAGTAGAGTATTTAATTCAAAAATTATTTTTTTCCTCATGGTAGAATTTTTAGGTACTGCTACTGCTTGTATGGTTAAAAAAAAAAAGGACAAAACAAAAAAACACATTTTGTGGATGTGGGAGACCCTTCCACTTTTCTAAAAATTCATCCTGTAAATTTAACTTGCATTGGTAAAATAGAAGTGTTGTTAACTGACCTCCACCTATGTGAGCCAATTTCCCTTCTTTCTATAAACATAATAAATCCTGACTGTAAGGCTGGTTGCCTTGGGGAGTTCGGACACGCCCATCTCCCTCCCCACTTGAAAATTACGTTATTAGAATATGCCCATCATCTAGCTCCGCCTTGGAAATCCCCTCTGCACTCGACACCTAACCCCACCCTTGGAAATTCCCTCTGCACTCAGCACTTAGCCCGCTCACCGGAAATCCCACCTACCTACCAATAGCAGCTCACCCCGTCCACATCCTGTTTCTCCAAATCCAATCAAACGCCTTCACTCCCTATAAAACCCCACTCCTGAGAGGCGTCAAGGGCGACTTCCCTGGCCCTTCTCCGCGGGACCATGGAACCTCGCCCGGGAGCAGAATAAATTGGCATCTAATTTTCTTGTGCTGGCCTCAGTTTCCTCGTTTTTAACTTGGCAATAAACCTACAGAGAATAAACTTTACACTGACGTAGCACAATAAACACCATGACCAGGAGACTAGTCTTATAACCTGTTGAGTCTCTCCCACCACCAAAACTCTGTTTCCCAGGAGTGCATGGCATTTGCTGCTGCACTTGATAAGTCTAGCTCTACTTGTAATCACATAAGATACTTAATTGTTTTATGTCCTAATGAAATATGGGCGTGGAGGGAACTTCTCCTATGATGTTTAAGTTCACTGATTCCAAAGCATCAATAAACAGAATTGCTAAAAAACAAAATTGCTGACAATTTAGGTAATAGTGAAATAACTGTTTAAGTCTTGGAAGAAAAGGAATGCTGCAGTTAGATTTCATTAGAAATGTTTAAAGTGCTCATTTCACTTGAAAACAAAACTAAAACTGGGACTGTAGACAGCGTTTTATGGGCAATATTTATACAAGAAAAATGATATGGAACTTCAATCATAGACCTACTCAAGGCAAGGCCTTGGCCCTATATCAAAAGTTAATGAACAAATGTTTATACATTTTAAATTTAAATGTTTATGGTACTTTAAAAAATTATTCCTCATGTGATCCAATTTTTTTAGTTAATCTACCAACTATATTCTTAATCGATGCAGATGGAAGAAAAATACCTACTTAACTCTCAAGTGTTAAGATGGATCCTGACATCTTAAAAGACTTCTCCATTACATCAGAGGTGGCCAAGAACACTATTGATTTTCTTTTTCCATTCTCTTCCATTTTGGTCTAAATAACAAATGTTTCTCTGATTCTAAATGAGATAACTTTCATCTTCCACAGACAAAATTAGACAAAATTGGGCACAAAATTAGGTTTCAGCTTCAATATTTGGATTTTTTTTTTTTTTTTGTAAGTTAGTTTTGGGTTTTATCTTTTATGGAGAGTGAATATGAGGTCACTGCAGGGTTAACCTCTTTTTTAGATACAAAACTGATAAAGAAAAGCTAAGTCATATTAAAGCAAGTGGCATTAATAAAATACTTTCCTGTAAAAACACTTTAATATGAAAATATTACGGTAGATGTAAGTCTTAGTGTTTATTGAAAGCAACAGACTGTCATTTAAGTGAACTTATTGTTGGATTTTTCCTAAATTAGAAGGGCTGTTAGTGCGTACAAGCTGCCATAAATTGTCATTATTTTTAAACATTGTTTTCAATTTGTTTTAGTTAGCCTCTTGATTTGAAATAACAATGCAGATGCAGCACTTAAAATAGAGAGATTACTATTATTAAATAGATGGGAGACAGAGATAAGTAAGAAATAGGGCCTAAGAGTGCTTAAACGTGACTCTAGAAATCAGCTATTCTACAGAGTAAAATCTAGACTTAGACTACCTATATTCAAATCCTGAACCTACGGTTTATTTGTGTGACATCAGACAAGTTACTTTTTATTAGTCTTGGTTTCTTCATCTTTAAGATTAGGACTTAATAGCATCTATCTTTTAGGGTGTTGTGTGATTAAATTAAGTATGCAGGTAAGCACTTGTTACAGTGTCTTACATTTGGTAAGTTCTCAATACATATAACTTGTCATTGTCATGATTATGTGATTAGTCTGATTAGTTATGGAACTTTGAACTCCAGTCTCTGCCATCTTACTCTTAGTTTCTTCTCCCTTGTATTTGTATCCTGCTTTTCAAAGCTCCACTTCTATCTATGGCATTTTTTTTGGTTCTGATCACTATCCAGTCTCTTGTATCTAGATTGGTTCACAGATGAATCTATTGTCTTCTTCTTAAAATATATTCCAACTAATAAATGAAGTAGGAATAACAGGACTAGAATATCATTTTGCAAGCCACTAGTGAAACAAGTGATCTTGCCAGGCATCAGCCAACTATGGCCTTAGGCTACATCTGGACTGATTGTTTTTGTAAATAAAGTTTTATTGAAACTCAAAAAGAGAATCTACTGTCTTGATTCAGGTCCCACCCTTGATTCAGTCAGCCATGACTTCCTGGGCAGTAGAAGCTGTGAGTGAGTGAAGAGTCCCTCAGAAGAGGTTAAAGGAATGGCAGACAGCATCTAGAAGTGTACCTCTGTTGAATTTACATTCTATCCTGTTCCTTTCTGTCAATGTGCTGTTTTTCTGTGTTAATATAAATTGTCCTGTTAATCAAATGACAAAACCTCAGAGAAAGATTTAAAGCATATGTCTAAACTAATCACCCACACTTTACTTTGCCAGAAATAAGCCATTTAATACCAAAAGGAAATTAGTTATCCCTTCTATTCTTCAGATTTTGAGTTCAACTTTTTGAAACTTTAAAACATTGTCAGTGAAAATTTCAGGACTTGGAATTCATCTGTTTTCTAGTAATAAATTCTGTTTTCCTTTTCCTCTGTACACATTTTTTTTTTTCAGTTGAAATGTTAAGGCTTATAATGATACAGGCTGAGGATCCATAAACTGAAAATCCAAATTTCAAAATGTTCCAAAACGGAAAACTTTTTGACCGCCATGACTTCAGAAGTGGAAAATTCCACATCTGACATTATGCGATGAATACAAAAATTATTTACAAATAGTACATAAAATGACCCTCAAGCTCTGCATATATAAACATAAATTAATTTTCTGTTTAGACTTAAGTCCCATCCCTCAGATACCTCATTACATATGAATATTCAAAAATTTAAAAATCAGAAACACTTCTGGTTCAAGTACTTTTACTGAGGGATATTCATCCTGTACTCCTTCTGGAACATAAGTCCTGAGAACTGTCCCAGGGGATGTATATGTAGTCCCTAATAATTACATGATCAGTAATTCATAGCTTATGAACATCTCAAATAGTACTGGTTAGGTTATGGAATTATACTAAATTACACTAAAAATATACTATAGAATTACAGTAAAGGGGTAAGAATGCCTTGGATTTCTGCTTCTGGCCAAGATAGAATAACATCTTAGATTTACCCTCCTGCCTGAACATATTCTGCTGGCTGAAACAACCAAAAATCCTGACAAAGTAGATGAAACAATGGCACCTGACATACTGTTTCAGGCAATGCAGGACAAGGGTCGCTGAAAGATGGGAAACAAATGAGGTAAACCCTCGTATCACCCTATCTTACTGCCTGGAGGAAAGTTTCAGGCCTTGGAGCAGGTAGAGGAAACCTAGGTAAAAGTCCACCGATCTCTTGAATTGGAGATGGAGCTCCAGGTCAAGAGAAGCCAAACAGGCAGAGTACTGGAGAGAAGAGAGCTGCATGTAGAGAAAACTCTGGAGGTACTTGAAGAATTGCCCTCAAGTGTTCAGTTAAATACTGGTTAGTGCATGCAAGTCTGAAAACTACCCAAACTTGGGGGAAAATCCACCTGAAAAGAATAAAGAAAACAGTGCTGATGACTCAGACATGACAGGGAATAGTGTGTTTTCAACAGCTGAAGTGCAAAACCTCATAATTCATGAACAGTGGTACCAACGAGGGACTTTCCTCAGTAATAAACTAAATTTAACTTAAACTAAGCCAGAGCAGCTTATAAACTAACAAAATTTAAAAGCAAGATTCTAAATGATCAAATTGTGTTCAAGTAACTTGATGGTTTTCAGTTAGCTATGTAACTAGCTAAAAACATAGCTCAAAACCATTTATGGGAATACCAAGATATGCATGTCCAATCAAAGGAAAATTTACGATGTTTTCTGCCCAATCAAAAATCATAAGGCATTTAAAGAGACAGAAAAATATAACCCACAATGAGAAAAATAAATCAGTTGAAACTCAGAGTGACAGATGATAGAATTAGTATATTTTAAAAAGCATTAAAACAATTGTTAGCATTGTATTCATCCATTGAAGAAGTTAGAGGAGAGATTAAGTATGTTAGAGACATGAAAGATGGGGGACAAAAGACCCACACTAAATTTATAGAAATAAAAACTAAGTTATCTGAGATTAAAAAGTCCTGTCTAGGATTATGGCAGATTAGATGATTTAGAAGAAAAGATTCACAGAATTGAAGACATAGCAAGAAAAACTATCTAAAATGAAATACAAAAAAGAGTGAAATAGATAAGTAAAATGTGGGACCATGCAAGTAATGGAAAAACTTGAAAATAAGAAGGATCACAGAAAAAAATATTGGTCACTTTCCCCCAAATTTGATAAAAACTATAAATACGTAGATCTAAGAAGCTCAACAAATTCCAAACACAAGACACTTGAAAAATAACCATACCTTGGCACATTATAATCAAATTAGAACCAGTAATAAGAAAAATCTTAATCAGAAAAATAATGTATATCACACATAAGGAGAAAGACAAGCATTACAGTAGATGTTTCATCGGAAACAAAGTGAGAAGATAGTGAAGCAATAGTTTTTTTAATTACTGAAAGAAACATTGTCATCTCAACCTTGCTTTTTGTATCAATAAATTGTTTTTAAAAGTCATTAGAATTATTTAAATAAACTCTGATTTGTTTATCAGTGAGGTGCTATGCAGACATTAAAATTGTGATGTATATTTATATATAGTTAAATATAACAGTGAAAATAAATCCACAATATATTGTTAAGTGAGGAAAGTTTAAGTAATGTGTACAAAATAAACCAGATTTTTGGTTTAAAAAAAAAAACTGATGTATACACATAAGCATCTCAAAAATATTTAGAAGGATATATAGTAAGTTTCTCAAAGTGATTGTCTCTGACTAGTAGAATTTCTCAACTCTTTTTGATATTTCTTTGTTGCAGGAGCATGCATTAATTTGACAATTTTTGAAATAGTAAAGCTATCTTTGGGAAAAATACCTTGTAACAAGATTATATTACTTCTCTTAGTAATTAATGCATTTTAATATTTCTTATACCTTTCAATCAGAAATTTCTTTCAATTATGGGGTGTTTCCCATTGGTGAGAAAGGCGATTAAAAAAAAAAAAACTCATTGGCTTTTTCTCCTAATGTGTTCCACAATATATTCATGCTTAAATTTTTTTTTATTTCCCTAAATATTAGGTATTGTGAATTTGTAATTTTGTTATCAGGCTCAATTTTCAAACTGGATTTTATTAATTTTTAGCATATGTGTTGCTGAGATGAGCACATTAAGTTTTTACATTTTAGTAGTGAAGCATTTTTTAAGTTATTTGAAATACTGGTTTTCATGGCATTACATTTGGCATGTATAAGTGTAAGCTCTGAATAAGGGGTAAGCCACCATCTCATCAACAGATAATCAGGCCATCATCCCGCTGCCAAGTCCTTCTGTGTCCTCTGTGGATCTTGTTTTCTTAGCAACCATCTTCAGCAGGAGGCAAATCATTGAGCTAGATCGTGGTCCAGCTAGTTTATAGGTTCTCTTTTAGCACGGATCAATCCAAACAGTCTAATGGGATCATCATGAATGTTCTCCTCTACTGCCTGGCTTTCTGGGGAGAAATTGTCTACTAAGGTGGTCTTAGAAATGCTGACATCCGTTGGATGTGATTGCTCATCTCCATCCTTGTCAGACAAATGGGTATTCTGTTTCCTGGGCTTCCTGCGCTTCCCCTTAATGCTGTGATCAAGTGAGGCGTAGCACATCTGTGTTTCGTTAGTTGCCTAAAAGAAAGGGATGTAAATTTCTCATTGTTACTTTGTTCTTTAACTAGACTTCTAGAAATTTCTATGGCCTGTGAAAACCAAGTAACTTGTTTTCTGGGCCTCATCTACCTTGTTTTGTCAAATCTCAGTACAAAAAACAAAAACAAAACAGAAAATGATAGTCAACCAACATTGTTGAGTTGAAAAAGTGCTTAGATGAAACTTTTTCCTAGATTTTTCTTTCTTTCTTGTACTCTAACTGTACATGAACACTTCAGGTTGATTCTTACCTGTCCTACCTTCCACTTAAGGTAGTTCTGGCCCTATGTTTCTCCTACCAAGTAACAATACTCTAGTTTATTAAAATAGGAACAAATAAGGTCTACTTTACACGTACCTAATAATTGGTCATTTAATTGTACCACAACAGCCCCCAGTTTTTCTACATTTTTAAGATTTGGAATTATAAAGATAACAATATTCACTTAAATGATAGATATCTGGTAAATAACTAAATTTATCTTTCCTATTATTTTCTTATCTGTCTTCCCCAGATCCCTTTTGAGCTCATTTTAGGTTGGCCTTGGAGATGTCCATTCACATCCAAGATGGCCCAGTGGGCTGCTCTGGACTAGAGCTGGGTCAATACTAAAATGAGAAACACAGGAAACTAGGTTATCTAGGGGAAACAACATGCTAAATGCAAGACCTTGAATTTGGCATTGGAAAGACTATGACTGAATCCCAGCTCTGCCATACAGTGAGCATGGGGCCTTGGCAGGTTTTTAAAAACTATTCTGAGCCTCAATTTTCTTGCCTAGAAAATGTGAATCATCATCATAGTGTTGGTATGGTTAGTAAATAGAGATAATGTATTTGGAAGCTTTAACTGCTGTCCAAAAGTAAGGTAGCATTGTAATTATTAAAAGGTATAGAATAAAACTTAAAACAGCCATTGAAAAAACCAAAGATGGATGTATTAAGCATTACTCTTTGAGACTAGGCCGAAATTGTATTGATTTTCAGGGACAAGGGTGAAGAAACAACATTTGGATTAACATTTCATTTCTAATGAATAAGTAAGCATCTCACCATTGGCATTTGTTTTCATGCTAAGAGTGAAATGTTTTATATGCTCTGCTGAATAGAAAAGATGGTTCTATTTATACCGTGTGTGTGTGTGTCTGTGTGTGTGTGTGTGTGTGTGTGTGTGTGCGCGCGTGTGCGTGCTGAGACAGAGTTTCCCTCTTGTTGTCCAGGCTGGAGTGCAGTGATACGATCTTCGCTCATTGCAACCTCCACCTCCCGGGTTCAAGCCATTCTCCTGTCTCAGCCTCCCGAGTAGCTGGGATTACAGGCCTCCACCACCATGCCCAGCTAATTTTCAGTAGAGACAGGGTTTCAACAAGTTGGCCAGGCCTGACATCAGATGATCCACCTGCCTCAGCCTCCCAAAGAGATGGGATTATAGGCGTGAGCCACCATGCCTGACCATGTTGGGTTTTTTGTTTGTTTTGTTTTTCGCTTTTTGTCTAGCTTTTTTATTCTTAATAGCCTCATTTCTGGAAAAATTATAATAGCTGCCTAACTGGATCTGTGTTCTAGTCTCTTCCCACTGCCATATACTGTCGTCAAGTTATTTCTAATTTAATCTCAATGTGTTTTCTTCATTTACATCTGAAAGCATTCCAAATAACGTATGTGTGGTCAACAGTTGGTCAACTTTATTGAGTGCTGCAGAGTTAAACAGTGTGAGTCCTAAGAAGGGACCACAAGTTGTACGTATGTTTCATAGTCAATGGAGACTTCCACAGTGCGGTGTTAGTTAAGTGCATGAGTGGAAAACACATAGTCAGGGTAAAGGAATGTGTGTGTATCAAAAGAAATCCAAGCAATAGAGGAAGAAGCTAAGAATCAGTTTAGAAATTAGAAAGAAAAACAGGTTGATGTAAGTTTTTTTTTTTTTTTTTTTTTAATACTGGAGGGATTTTTGCATATTGTTAGGCAAATAGTATTGAGTCATTAAAAAAATGGAAATGAGAAAAATGAAATACTTGAAAGTACAAGATCCTAAAAGAATTAGGAGAAACAGTCAAGATCATGAATAAGAGCATTGGCTTTGGAAAGAAGAAAGGATGCTTCTGATATAGGAAGAAAAGATTAGAGATTTGGACAGAAAGAAGAGGAGCAAGCTCACACTTGTATTTCTCAAATTTTCTAGGATTTGTGAGCTCACTTTATTATTAGGTTTTCTGATTAACTCTCTAAGGTCTCCCTCTCCCTACCCCAGCTCTGTCTTTTGAATTCCTGACATTTAGGTCTTGTGAGCATTATCCATGTGTCAACTTCTATATTTATCTCTGTGACACACACACAAAATTTTCAATCAGAGAAAAAACTGAATAGATTACTTAGGAATAATTTCATTATTCCCTTAAAACCTATAGCCTTTGTGATTGTGTACAATACTGACTCTTTGAATATGGTTTGAGTTCTGTTTATATGCCTCTGAATTAGAGCTCAGGTCCTAGAACTTGACACCTGATTGATGGCAAAATTTCGAACAGGTTATTTCAGATGTGTATCATAATGTATTGCTATTAGGCTCTTGAAATATGCAAATGTGGAAACAGGAAACAAAACTCACCTGTGCAGATGGGGTAGCCTCTTGCATCTCATTTACAGATTTCTCTGGTCGGGCTTTCATTTGTTCATAGCAGTTTTCATCCATTGGTTCTTGGGAGTTAAAAAGATTATAATTCACAGTAGAAAATTTAAAAATCTAGTATGAATAAAAACATATGATCCAAACAACATTTGGCTGTAAATATAAACTGCCCAAGAATCACTTAACTGGCCTCTTTGGTGGAGATAGAAAGAGGTAAGGAAGCCCAAACTGTGACCTGCAGATCAGGCAGTGAAGTCTTTCGAGCTACAGGATTAGTAAGATAAAGATAAGTCCTTGGCATAAGAAGTCAGTCATGAGTTTTCTTACACCATTGCAGGACACGACAGTCTTAAACTATCATGTAGATGTTACAGAGATCCCACAGGTTAAAGGATTGCCTGTATTCTCCATTTAGATGGACGGCAAATGGTGCACGGTGGCACAAAGCACACTGCACGTACATCAGTGATGACAATTTTGAAATTTATTCCTTAAGTGAGGAGTTTTACTCAGAGGCATTTTAAGTCCAGCATCCTAATTTTGAAAAAGAGGCTTTAGATTATGACTTGTTCCATCAATCAGTGATGGGATGTCTCAGCCAGACTGCATAAGGGTCTGGGGCTGCACCATGCTGGTCCTTTAGTATTTGGGGGTTTTGTTTAGTGTCCTACAGCCAGCAGATCTGCGCTCATTTAATCCTGCAGGGCCATATCTTTTGAATCATTCACACCTGCTTCCACCAGATAGGTCCATTTAAAAGGAAGAAAGAGAAATAGTGACTCATAGGATGGCCAGTAACTTGACAGAAGTGTGGACTGTACCACTTTGACCCTCAGAGAGAAAAAGATATATTTACTATAACCAAAGCAACTTAATAATCATTGAGCCCTTTCTGAAAAGCAACAGGAAAAGGGTATGTAGAGTGGTGTTTCTCAAATCATGTTCCATGGAAAATCTGCATCAAAATCACCTGGGATGTAAAGTAGCAGATTCCGAAGCCTTAGCCTGGACCTGCTAAATCAGAATCTGTGCAAGTGGTACCTGGGCTTACTTAAGTATGGAAGTTACGGGTATGATGGGTTTGGAGCCACCAGAATACACAAGAATTTGAGTAGCTGAATATTACAGATGGCCAACATGATTTTGCGAAGTGAAATGGGGATATGTTTCCAAAAAATAATTTTTGATTCTTTAGAGTGCTAGAGGACACTCTACAATGAAAGAAAAGATAAAAATAAATTATTAAATCATATAAAAGAAAATTCTCACATTTCTAGCTTTATGGGATTCTCACATTTCTATACTGTTGTAATATATAGATATTTAGATCCATTTAGGATATTACTGGATGTCTCTGTGTTCAAAACTTGGAGTTCAACAGTAATTAACCCTAGTTCTCTCTGATGTATTGAATGAGTACTTGCAGGCAAAGGGTGGCAGTTTCTATCATCAGAACTCTATGATCAGACCAAGGTGATCTGTTTTGAGAAATTTAGGGGTGTTTTATTTTTAGGTGTCTGGGATGATACCAGTGATAAGGGATTCTGGGAATTGAAGAGCACTTAAGAACAAAATAAATATATAAACCACTCAGCATCAATTTAGTTCCTCTTTCTGCCGCCTACCATCATTCCAGCCCTACTTTCTCTATTTAAAACATGGGAAACCAAATAAACTGTTCATTGTTCTGTTATTCACTACACATTTGCTTTTGTTTACCAAGCACAAAGCACTGCTTCTGTGGACCACTTTCTGGTCTAAAAATAGCTTTATTTCATAGCATTTGATGTGTGTCAAAATTCATGGTAATAGTCTTCCTGTATTCTCATCACTACTAAAGTGAAATGAAGAGAATATAGAAAAACAGGATGTTGATTCAGAGAGGCTGTTGTAATACAACTTACAATATGCAGCTTTGGAAATAGAGACTAATTAACATAATGAACGTACCTGAATTGATGGCTACCACTGGATATCTAAGTGTGATTGTGATTTTTTTTTTTGAGACGGAGTTTCGCTCTTGTTACCCAGGCTGGAGTGCAATGGCGCGATCTCGGCTCACTGCAACCTCCGCCTCCTGGGTTCAGGCAATTCTCCTGCCTCAGCCTCCTGAGTAGCTGGGACTATAGACATGTGCCACCATGCCCAGCTAATTTTTCGTAGTTTTTAGTAGAGACGGGGTTTCACCATGTTGACCAGGATGGTCTCGATCTCTTGACCTTGTGATCCACCCGCCTCGGCCATTCAAAGTGCTGGGATTACAGGCGTGAGCCACTGCGCCCGGCTGATTGTGATTTTTTAAAATGCCACTTAAGTGATTTTTTTAAACCAAGTGGGATTACTTGATTTTTTTATAAATGTAATTTATGGAAAACTTACCTGAAATCATATCATCTAAGTTACCATAAATTGGTGTGTCTTCAATATAATACTCATCATCCCTGTAACAAGGAAAAGTAATTTACCTGATTAGATTCCACTTTTCACATAATTCATAACTAATTTCTCAGCTAAATTCAATATTGAGTGAACTATTATTGCCTGTTCTTGGTTAGCCTTAACCAACCATGGTAGAAGTGTTCTCATGCAAGTGAGAACATGCATGCATGTATGTATGTGTACATGTGTTTGTGTAAATTTTAAAAGTTGGTTTTTGGACCTTACAGGGAATAATGACAGCAAATACTTATTCAGTAGTACAGTGTATTAGGTGCTACCTCGAATATATTTCATGTTTGTTCATTTAATTCTCTCAATTCCAACATAGGTACTATATCATCCCCTTTATATAGATAAGGAATCTGAGGCACAGAGAGGTTATATAACTTGCTCAATTTACTAGACTAGTAAAAAGCACAGCTGGAATTAGTACCCAGGTAATCAATGCTTTTCATTGTACAACGTACTGGCTCTTTACCCACCAAGAATATCAGTCCAAACAGTCTCTTAAAACCATGTTTTCTAAGCATTACAGACTGAAGTTAGCAGATCTGATAAAATGATTGATCACCTAATATGTCCAGATGCTGGGTTATGTGTTTTACAGACGTTACATCAAAAACCCACGAAGAAAATCTCCAAAAGTAGTAGTTTTGTTCCCTGCTTTACACAGGAAAATCCTGAGATTCGGCTAGATTAATTTATTTTCCCTAGGCTTATCTCAAATATCAGCAATAACTTACCAATTATGAAAACTTTTCTCTATGCGAGTGCTCATTGAGCCCTCAAGACAATAATATGAGATGCCCATTTTTATCTGTCTTGTGAATATAATGTATTTGCAACTCATAGAAGTTAATGACATTGTCAGAGATACAGTCAGTAACTGGCAATGCTAGGTTTTCTTTTTTTATTATTATTGTACTTTAAATTCTGAGATACATGTGCAGAACATGAAGGTTTGTTACACAGGTATACACATACCATGGTGGTTTGCTGTACCCATCAACCCATCATCTACATTAGGAATTTCACCCCCCAACAGGCCCTCCTATGTGATGTTCCCCTTCCTGTGTCCATGTGTTCTCATTGTTCGACTCTCATTTATGAGTGAAAACATGCAGTGTTTGGTTTTCTGTTCCTGTTTGCTGATAATGATGGTTTCCAGCATCATCCATGTCTCTACAAAGGACATGAACTCATCTTTTTTATGGCTGCGTGGTATTTCATGGTGTATATGTGCCACATTTTCCTTATCCAGTCTATCATTGATGGGCATTTGGGTTGGTTCCAAGTCTTTGCTATGGTGAACAGTGCTGCAATGAACATATGTGTGCATGTATCTTCATAGTAGAATGATTTATAATTCTTTGGTTATATACCCAGTAATGGGATTGCTGGGTCAAATGGTATTTCTGGTTTTAGATCCTTGAAGAATCAGCAATGCTAGGATTATACAGCAAGTTTGGTCATAAAGCCCTGTGCTCAGTCCACATCATGAAGAAGCTATTCAGAGGGTGATATAATTCAAAGGCTGTAGGGAAACAGTCTGGAGACTGTACAGCGACCACAGTTCTATGTCTGTTCCACCCCAAAGTCAAGAGAACTGACAAGAATACACAGCTCTTTGCTCTTGCTAGCTGATTGAAGTTCCTTCCAGCCTCATGTGAGTAATGCTGTTAGGATTACAGTGTACATCCTACCATTGCCACCAGACCGTCATTCTACCAATGTCATCCTACCAATCATGATGGCCCTAGTGACCAGATTTCACAATGATAGTCTGGGAACTGGGAAACTTATCAGGTGGTAAGAGTGGCATTTCATAAAACAGTACCAACTGCTTTAACTTTGAGATTACACGTCACTGAGAGCTGGAGGGAATTGCATCAAAAGAAAAAGAAAAAGGACTCTTAACTCAAGGCATAACACATGAATTACTCCCCATGCTACTGAAAAAAGACACGCTATATGTAAATACTAAGTGGGTATTCTTAAAAAAAAAAATGGGCATACACTTCACTTATCTGATAACAAAGGAACCCATCTGTAACCTTTCTTTCCATATGGTAATTCAATATAGCTTAATGTTGGGATACCAAGTAGTCCCTGCTCACGATTTTTCTCCATGCCAAGAATATAATAGCAAAAGGTGAAGCATTTTTAATAAGACAATCCATCCATTTTCCTAGCCCACATAGATGGCAGATACAACTTGCAAATGATAAATCACTTCTAAAAAATGAATAGTTTCATTCCCTATGAATGAAAATAACATGTGATTTATAATGCAGTGCTCATGTCTACAGACCCATCTCAAATGATTAATCATCTCAAATAAACTATTATTCGGGACCAATCGCCTAACAAACAAATTTAAAAATATATTCTTGGCAATACCAAATGTCTCCAGCCTATTGTAAATATGTAATAAACCTCAGGAGCAAATGTTTGGCAGTGTTTTATGTGGATGATTAATTACATTTAAAAATAAATTAATAATTGAACTCACATCTGAGAGGTGAGTGCACTTCTGAGTTTTGAGCCATATCAGACTCTCCATTGTTCTGAACATACCTGAAATGATTCTCTAACCAATAAGTACATTTACCGACACTCCAAAGTTAAGAAAAATGTGTTAATTTATTACTATGGTCCAGATTTTGTGCTTTCATTTATATTTTTTCTAGTTCCTATTTTTTACATTTTTATTTACATTTATGATTTGATTAGATCTTTTATTTTAAAAGTTCCTCAAGTAGTTTGTGATCCAAGTCCATTTAAATGACTAAATTTAAATTTTAAAAAATTACTTCTATTTGATCACCTTGGACTTAAATTCTCTAAGTTTAGATTGTCTTACTTAAAGAATGAGAATATGAAACTAGTTGATTTCTATTGTTCTGTTCAGCTCTCAAGTTCTAGGATACAAATGCAGGATTCCAACATCCAAATAAAATCGAAAGACATTTTTACAAAATTAAATAAATCTATTTTAAGGATCTGAGAAATTGCCAGATATGAGAAAGGGCAAGTTTTGGGATCTATCAGAAATTGGTTTTCATAATCGCTAACCCGATTTGCTTCATAGTTGTTACTCTGAATAGGCAAAGATGTAAGTTTGGGCTCTGTGGGCATGTAAATGTTTAAAGCCCTGAAAAATACGCCATTATTTATGGAATGGGTCCCTGGGCGCTCTGATGTTTAAGATTCAGAAACCAGCAAAGGAGAAGTGGCTGCTGGTAAGAGAAGAGGAAAAGCAAAGAGGGAGGTGGCTCAGAGCCCAGAGGATCAAACGTTTGAAGTAGACAGTGTCAGGGTGTCAAATGCGGCAGTGGGACCCAGCAAGATGAAACGGAGGTTTGATCATGGTAACCTTGACGAGAGCAGAGTCAGTGCATTAGTGAGGATATATGGAATAGAGTAGGTTCAAGAAATAAGAGGAAAAGAGGAAGAAAAGCCGGCAAATATGGACAGAATATAGATGGACCTTTCAAGTTTTATTGTAAAAGAGAAAAGAGCAATGGAGAGGTGGCTGTAAGGCAATCAAGCTTCAAGGATGTGGTTGGTTTTTTAAAGGTATAAACAGTAGAGTCTGTTTATATATTGGTGGGAATTATATAAAGGGATAGAAAAAGTAACAATGTAGAAGAAAAAAGGAAAAGTTGCTAGAGTGATGCATATATGCTTATTACATTTTCCCTTTCTCTAGCACGGCTGTGATATGGGGGTAGATGTCTTGAACTTGACATAGGAGGGCACCAGATAGAGAACCCTGATTTGGAGGAAGAGTTTAAATCTTAGCAATATTTCGTGTGACTGAGGCTGAGAAGTGAATCCAGCAATGTCTTCTGTGAAGTGATGGTTAATGGATGCCCAGAGCCATGATATCTAACATTAATTTTCTCATTCTGTTGATCAGTGTTCAGGTGCCTCTCTCATATGCTCATTTCTTTGTAAAGGTCTATTAAGCACAATGAGCACACATTGCCTGTGCTGTAGATCACTTCAAAAGAAGGGTCTTTTCTCAAAGTTTGGCAGAACGAATACCAGAAAGAACTGCCAGCATGAAGATTTCTAAAATGACAGGGACTCCAAGAGGAGTGACAGAGCTAGAGGTGACAAGGGGGCCGCCAAGAATAAGGCTTGGAGAACCCCAAGATTCTGAGAATTACTTAGGAAATGGATGAGATTTCTTGCAGTTATACAGGGCTGGGGCTTGGGTTATGATTATTTGTACATTAAAACAAACAGGAGGTTGGAAGATGTAGAGACAAAGTGTCTCTACATTTACACAGGTGGCACTGGGTCTAGTGAAGGCCTCACCTGCATAGCCACTTGGAAGTCTGAGATGTCAGGGAAGGGGACCCAAGAGTTGTGTTTTCATAAGGATTCTCAACCTTGAGAACAGGTCAAGAGGACAGATGAGACTAAAGATCTGCACAGGGCCGTAGTTACATTTAGGTGCATAGTTAGCAAAGAAGGGAAATGAGGAAGATCCTCACCCTGCAGAGCTCCAGAAATTCAAGAAATGACCCAAAAGTAGAATGGTTGAGCTGAATGAATGTTTTATGATTAAAGCACCTCCGGTGTCCCCCAGAAGCAGTTCATGAAAAGCTGCTGGAAATGTATCCTAAGCTTTTTGAGAGAGACTCTGAAAACTGAGGAGTCATGATAAGGTTAATGTAATTGTAAACCCGAGCTGCTTTCTTGAATTAGGGTGTGAACATACTGCAAGTGGGCAGGAATTTTCAGAGACATTGGTTTTTATTCAATAAAGCAGTAGCTTTTTAACCAATTTCGCTCTGTAAATAACATTTTATATTATAAGCCTTACTCTTGAAATGATAAAACCAAAGTTCACCAATGCTCATTTCCCCAAGACTACGAATCTACTAATTGCAAGTCTGTTTAAAATCTAGAATTGCCTGGATCTCAAATCCATGATAGTCTCACAGTATTATCCTCCTAACACAACCAAAAGACAAGAATTCTGTTTTAAATGAAAAATAAAGTGACCCAAGGATAAATACCAGAAAGTGTGTATTTGACGTTCTGTTAGATTTAGATGCTGTGTTCTCCTTAAAGTGATCATGTTTCTGACCTACTGTTGCAGGAAGGGCAGGGATTTGGGAACACAGAAATAAGAGGAGAGAAGCAATTTCCTTCCCTTCCAGCATAAGCCAGTATTGAATAGGAGTGGGGAGAGAGTGCAGCAGAGAACTCAGTGTGATGGAAGTTTACTTCCTATCTGTCAGGCCACAAACCATGTTGGAAGTGAAGAGGCATCAGTAATGCAAGCCCTGCCTATGAAACCTAGACCTTATTTTCACTTGCTCTGTTTTAATGTTTAATGGATTGAGATAGTTTTTAGTTTGCTTATTTGCTTGTGAAGCTTCCATGCCCCTTTACAAAAGTGATTTTTGGTTCCCAAACCACATAATCAAGAGAAATAGACAAAATATAAACTATATACATAAACTTGCAGATTAAAGATTAAAGTATCAATCCTTTTTTACAGAAAAAAAATCTGCACTGTATATTCAAATTTTGGCTAACTAGAGATTTGTTACAATAGACAATAGATTATAAATCCTTAAGGGAAAGATTTTTGCCTTTCCATCTTTGTATCTTTGTTGTTGAAGGACAGTTCTCTGGGTGACTTTGCACCAAACGAGCACTTTCTTTCTCACTTGTAATTTTTAAGAATAACTGTAGAATGTGCTGGAAATGCAACATTCAGGGATAAAGAAGAACTGGCCGGAACAGCGTAGGCTTTATTCCAGTCTCTCATAGAAACAGGACATCCTTCAGTGCATTAGCCCAGCATATCATGTTGCCCCTCAGGGACAAACCCAAAGGTGGGCTGCTTTCTGGGGTCCTTCAGCTGCAGGGCAGGTGGGGAACAGGAAGATGAGTTTCTGTCCACATTGGGCAGCTTTCCTAATGAATCTTAGACGTTGGTTGTCCTTTGCTGCGTATCTGTAGGTAATAAACTCACTTTATGTAACTCATTCTTTGTGTGATTTCTCTCATCAGACTCAGGCAAGTAGTAAATATACAGCCCAAGCAGAGCGGGCTGAAGTGCTTGGACGCCTCTTCTTGGTAGTTGGCATAGTAACGATCTTTGCTATCTTACATCCTCCCTTGGGATTGGTATTCAGCAAACATATTTTGCAATTGTCTAGCACAGTGCCTGTTTGTTAAGTGAATATTTATTGAATGAATAAATGTTATAAAAGCCTCTTTCTTACATTTGCTCTACAGCTAAGAGCCTGACTGCTTCGAGGCAGCTATCTTGCCAATTTTTCCTCTCATTCCTCCCATCCTAATCCCCAAACCACCAACCTAATTTAGTTAAATGATCAAGACTTTCTATTACACAAGACTTTCTATTACATTCCATCTTAATTGCCCTTCAAATTATAAGTATTAAACAGATCATCAAAGATATTAGCTTTTATTGTGTGGTTATATAGGATTTTCTTCATCATTATGTGTTTAAAAAAAAAAAAAGCAATAAGCAAATCACTCTTGATATAAACTAATGACTTGAAAATTACCGGGAGGGACGGTGGGGGGTGGGGAGCTGGGGAGAGATAGCAAGGGGAGAAATGCCAGATGTAGGTGATGGGGAGGAAGGCAGCAAATCACACTGCCACGTGTGTTCCTATGCAACAATTTTGCATGTTCTTCACATGTACCCCAAAACCTAAAATGCAATAAAATAAATAAATGGGGAAAAAATAAAAAATAAAAAATAAAAAAATAAAAAACAGGAAAAAAAAAAAAGAAAATTACCTAATGTTAGAGAATCCAATGTTAAGAGTGGTCATATAAACAAAGGTTTTGTGTGTGAGGGTGTGCCTGTAGCCTAGATCTTATACTTGCTCAAGAAGTTTTCATATGGAAAAAGAATTTGGTTTTTTAAAAAACCTTTAAGAGACCAAAAAGGCGGCCAGACGTGGTGGCTCATGCCTATAATCCCAGCACTTTGGGAGGCCAAGGTAGGTGGATCACAAGGTCAAGAGATCGAGATCATCCTGGTCAACATGGTGAAACCCCGTCTCTACTAAAACTACAAAAAATTAGCTGGGCATGGTGGTGCATCCCTGTAGTCCCAGCTACTCAGGAGGCTGAGGCAGGAGCATTGCTTGAACCCAGGAGGCGGAGGTTGCAGTGAGCCGAGATCTTGCCATTGCACTCCAGCCTGGGTAACAAGAGCAAAACTGTGTCTCAAAAAAAAAAAAAAAATGAGACCAAAAAGGCTTATAATCTTATTCTACCCAGTGAGAAAAAAGCTCTGTGTTTTTCAGAGACCTTTCAGTCTACCATTTCAGAAAGATCTTGAAGAGCCCTCTAGGAAATTCTCTTTATTTAGAATTTTTTTTTACTCCTAAAACAGAAATCTCCAATACATTGACACATCTGGATCAGAATATACTATCCAAAAAAAGTAAAATTTAATTACTATAATTTATGCCATAAATGCTTTTTTTTAAAAAAAAGTATACTACTATACAAAATTATTTGCAACTAGCTCAGTAACTATTAAAGAGAATAAGTTATATCTATAACTGCATATTCTTTCAGAGAATCTGTTTATCACATTTCCCTACTGATTGACATTATCTTTACAAATAGCAGAGTGCTAAGCATCCCTGTATATATCGATGTATATACGTATCTTAAATTGTATTGGATTGCCAGATTTTTTTCTGCTATAGATTTTGAATTCTGTATCTAAGCTGGATCATAATCTAAGATATCTGCTTTTGAAATGAATGAGAATTCTACAGATTCCAGGTTAGAGTCTCACTTTATCCTTCAACCAGCTCTCTCACTGACTCACAGTGTGCAAATAACTAGGACAGATAATATTATAGCTTCTAATCGTTAGATGAGAATAGAAATAATTAAAACTCACTTTTTATTTTACTTGAACCTAAGTACAACATCCATGAGCCATATCTATAAGCAATATAGCATTGTTACTTTCACTTATTAGTTGGGAATCATGATACATGACTCAATCTCAACATACCTGGGAATGCAGTCATTGGAGTACCTGTACATTTTATCTGAAAGATATTCAAAATAGACACGTTAAAAGGAATGTTGACATACCTTCATTAAATATTCTACAGGGTGTTCTGAGGGGAGTTTAGCCTCAATGTCAGTAAATATCTTTGACCAAGGCCATCAGGCCACCTCTGATTGAAGTAGGGTTAAAGGTTTCTTCTTAGGCCAATCAGATTTGCCTTTTACCAAATTACCAAGAAAGAAAGATTTATATGATTTGAAGAGAAACCAGGCAACTTTCCTGGTCATTTAAGATGGAACCAGTACAGCTTAGAGACGATGTACAGCCTGGATGGATGGTGGTTTTATGCACAGAAAACACTAAGCTGAGAGAGCTGGAACCTTCCTTCCTGCCTCCCATGTGGCGCCAGTCCATTGCAGTGCGTCGTGTACTTTCTGCCTTTGGGTTCCATGAAACACCACATGTTTTTATCTTTCTTTGCTCATGTGCTTTGAATAGGCTTTTCTTCCTTACCAAAAATGAAAAAAAAATCAATAGACTTTTTTCTATCTGCCTGTCTGTCTGTCTGTCTATCTATCTATCATCTGTCTGTCTATCTACTTTTAACATTTCTTGGCATGAGTAACGGCATAAAAATCATATTAAGGAAGTTACTCTGATCATGACTCCATTTCATCCACATGGTACAAAGCAGTGGCAAGGAGAAATGAGGGTCCTAGGAAGAAGAGACCTGGAAAAAGTTACAACACAGGCTCTAAAATTATCCAAAACAGTAGGACATCTTCTAAAAAAAAAAAAGTTTGTTTGGTCTACCAGGAAAAAACTCACCAGAGGTATGTTGAAGGACAATAAAATCATTAAAAAAAAAAAAACAACTATGTGATGAATCTCAGTAAGCAACTCACTCTTAATCCTTGAATATGGTAGTTCAAAGCCAAATAAAAGTATGTTTACTTCTAGGTTAAATATAAGAAACCAAAAGATACTTTAAAAATACAGTTTTGAGATTTTTTTTAGTGGAGGCAATGGATTCATAATGAATTATTGAGAAAAATTAAGGAATATTCAGGGTAGAGTCTTAACATCAATATTATGGAAAATTCTGTATTCATTCATCAATAAATTTTCTTTGCTGTTGAACTAGATGCATATACACAGTACAATGTTTATTATATTTGAATGGCTTATTTTTCAACCTGCCATTAAATAAAACCCAAAAGCTTGCAAAAGAGTTATTCACGTAAAAATAAAGACCACTATTATCTAACTCTGACAATATCTGAGAGACAAATTATGACCAAATGATGATCTTTCAACTTGAATATATGAAAAATACTCTGTTAGTAAGGAACTAGTAATAACATTTTCAAATAATTGAGTAAGTCACCAAACAACTACGAAAATTATTTTAGTTAAATTTATGTGCAACAAAGTTGAGTTATTCTCCAGAAAGTTTATTAACTGTTAAAGAAACATTAGTGGAACAATTTATGAAAATGATCATATTGGAGGATGAAATGGACATGTCACATGTCGATGTGTCTGGAAGAATTCTGTGAAGGACTAAATGAGGGAAGATTTTGCATTGCATATGCACTAAGCTGCTATGAGACCAAAAGTGATGAATGTATTCCATATGAAATATGTCAGTGGAATACTTCAGGCCAGAGGAAATGTTCTACCATGAACTGCATATAAAAGATGCAGTTATTTTCAACTTCCCTCTTTCTTTTCTCTTCTCCCCTCCCCTCCCCC